TAATAGGTCATTCCCCAGTTTATACTGGAACAGTATAAATTAATGAACAGGACAGTTAAGTACTGTTAATGAACAGGACAGTTAAGTACCTCTTTCTTCTTTGATGAAAGAATGTGTGAAGAAACAGATGTAGTAAAATGACTTATTTTGCTACTCACTTGGCCAGATTAGGAGATGTAACCCCAGGGATCTTTGTACTGTGTTATGACGCTGTTTTCTTGCAGAGGACATCTTGCAGTGGAGGAAGTAAAACACAAAGTGATTTATGCACTGCAACAGTAGGAGTTAATCAAGGGAGAGGTTGGATTAAGGATCTGAAGTTTTTACTGGAGTTGTATTGGCTGCTTAGATTTTTATAAAGCTGGGCTGTTGCTCAGAGGAAAATTTCACGGAACCATTAGGAAACTCTGCATTTCTTTTCACAAATAATTCTGTGGAAATAATTGTCTCCTAAAGATGTAGAACTGCAAGGAAGTGAAAACTGTGGAAGCATGGGGTGCTGGGTGTTTCATGCTGAGGGAGAACTTGTGCCAGGTGAGAGTCAGGATTTGTAAAAATCCGTGTATATATAAAAGTGGTGAGAAGACCTCGGCATCTGTCCTGCCTGCTGCTCTCCTCCAAAACTGCAGGCAGCAGACTGGAAAGAAGAAATGGCTTCTGTAGAATCAGAAGACAGACTGTTTTCTAAAGCCACTGATTCTCCTTTGCGTCTGCTTGATTTCTGCTGAGCTGTGTTCACACAGGGCCCGGACTGGATTTGGTGAGGGAGGGGGTTAGAGAAGGGGATCTTCTCGTGCTCTTTTCTGCAAATCCATATAGTTGTCCTTCCTAAAGAGAAGCTGAAATGATTGGCAAACAGCTTGCTCTTGGAACAAATGGATAGGCTCAGTTTTTAGAGTTACTTCTCAGTATTGAGGTCCATAAGAAAAAAAATAATACAAATTTTTATTTCGCTAGTAACCAGGGGACTTTCTTATCAGAAAGGGTCAGCGTATCTGATGAACAAGAGAAAGAAGTGGCAGGTGCAAGCAAGTCTCCAGCATTGACCAACTTTATTCTGATCTTCTCCATGCAGTCGTGATGCCAGTGTTTGTTTCTATAGCAACAAACAGGGAAAGTGATGGTGAGGGAATAATTAAAGGGAATGCCACTGAAATTGTCACTTAAAATTATTTGATTGTTTGGTAGCATGTGCTGTCAGTGCGAGGCAATAATGCGGTTTTATGTCATATGGGTGTTCCTCAGTAAAGGCAGAAATGGCTGCAGAAGCTGACATAAAATCACAGCACAGGTAACGCAGGCTCCTGAAGCATCCCACATCTCCTTATGAGCCACAGCTGCCTGAAATTCACCCGGCATGTGGAGTTCGGTGTATTAATTTAGCAACAAGGTTCTTTTGTTTGTTTGTTTTGATTCAGGATGGTGTTGATGCAGAATACAGGGCTGGTTTATTTATTATCTAGTTTGAACTAAAAGGCTTTTCAGACTCGTCACTGTTGTGTTTGTTTCTACTAGGAAGATGGGGTCTTGGAATCACTCTTTTCCTCCAGACTTTTCCTGGTAAAGGCAAAGCAGGGGAGACTCGGTCTTGTTCTGGTGGCTGTAACTCTTGCCGTCTGTTTCACGTCTCAGAAGTTAACAACCTCATGGTTCTTGTGTGGCACCGGTAGTCAGGGATGTCTTTCCATCTGGAGCCTTTAGACAAATGGTCCTTGTTCAGAGACATACGAGATGTGTAAACAGAAGGATGCTGTGGCCAATTTGCCTTTGGTTTTCACCCCCTAGGCTGCGCAGCGCACCTGTTACCATTCGCTTCGTGACGAACACAACGAAGGAGTGCAAGCGAGACCTGCTGGACAGGCTGACGAAGCTGGGGTTTGACATCGCAGAAAATGAGATCTTCACGTCTCTGACAGCAGCCAGAAATCTGCTGGAGCAAAAGCAGGTGCGGCCTCTCCTTCTGGTGGACGATAAGGCCCTGCCTGATTTCACAGGTGAGGTGGTCAGAAAACAGCATGGGGGAAGTCATGGAGCAGCCAAGGACACATTGTGCGCTCGGTTTCGTAGAATGACAATCATATATGTACCGTTAGCCGCGACGAAGCCTGAAATGTGGAATTTTCTGGAGTCGTAAAGGTCCTTTCCTCTTTTTTAAATTAACATTAAACAGTCTGAAGTCATAGCTTCTTGAAGAGGAGTGAAAATGGCAGCCAAAGCCTTCAAATAGTCAGAAATTCCGGTGAAACGTGATACTTTTTATTATTTTTCAGTATGGAGAAAAAGTAACACTTATCACTAGATCATCAGGATGTGTCAATTTGTTGGAAGTCAGATTTCCCTCAACTATTGCACACCGGTTTTGCTCACAAATAACTGAAAAGCCAGTGTGTAGGCACAATGCAGGAGGCTGTTCATCTCTCAGTAGGTTATTACTGAATGTAAAATCTGTAATTATTGTTACTTGTCTTGTATTGAACATCTAGGTCTCCCTCCGTGTGCTTTGATACCTTAATTGGTGACAGAAGGGCCGTAATTCTGACTTCCCTAGATTGACATCTCTAGGGCTTGTTTAAAACTTCCTTTACTTTCAGATGATCCCATTTCTCCCCTCAGCAACAAGGGGAGTAGAAGGTGATATATTCTAACCTGTACATGTCTGGCAGGTGCCAGAAGCTAGGACAGTTAGTCCTTGATTTAACCATATCGTTGTTTACAGAGCAGTGAAGATACCCAAGTTTTTAACACACTGAAAGTTGAAAACTCTATATTGTATATTCGGTCTTCCCTTTAAAGTCAAGGCAGCAAAAATGTGGTTGCTCCCTGCCCTGTGCCTTACGAACTGAAATCCTTATGGCTGCATAATTTAAGTGAGTTCTAATTTTGCTAGGAGCTAGACATTTCCTGTAACGTTTTAGTGCCATACTCTTGTCAGTGATCTTCAGAAAGATAAGCATTCAGGAGAAAAGCCTCTGTGGGCTCTGAGAGCAATGAAACTTGATAATCTTTTCTACCTAACATCGCATCCAGAGGAATATGCCCCCAGCAGTATTCTGTATTTGTGTTCTTGGGTTAGAAACAGTCAAGACAGCATCTGTTCCACTGAGGGTATTTAAATCAGTTTAATCTCCATGTATTTGGGATCTTTCCATCAGTTTTACGGTAAAAGATGGTGAAGACAGAGATGCCGGCAGAGTACATTGGTGGCGTTGTCTGTGTTGCTTGAGTCTGGGATGGATCGTTCTGTTTCTTCTTGCTACAAGTTGTTTGGCTCATATTCTGTCAGTTCTGCTCTTGAAACATCCATATGCAATGGTGAATGCTTTAAATTCCTGTTGATGGCTGCTGTTGAACTGTTCTTGGCTAATTCCTCTGTAAAGTCAGTCACAGGTGGATGAACGTCATCCATTCTTGGTTGAAGGACCCAGGTGCTTTTGGGTGGGTTCACAAATCCACGTGGCGTCTCTAAGTGTGCATTTTGCTGTCTGATCCAACTGAAGGACGTGTGGCAGGAGACATCAGCCAGGGCTGCAGTGACACAGTCTGGAGACCCAGGCGCTCTGGCTGTCCCAGTGTAGAGGATATGCTGTGTGAGGGCAGAACGAAAACCCCAGCAAGTGCAGGATGCAGCTGATAACTTAAACCTCTCCTAGATAAAGCTCTCTGCTACTCGTGTTTCTCCTGTCGATGCTGCTCTGCTTCCATTGCTGGCTCTGTTCAGAGGTGGCTCTGCCATGTAAAATCAGTCGTGCTTCTGCGCAGCAGTGCAGGACAAAGGAGGTGCAAGCTGTTCTCCAGGGGACTAACCCACGTTAAAAAACCCACGACCGTCCAGAAGAGCCAAAACCAATCTAGTGTAATTTTTACGCCATGCTGTGACACCATCTTTGCCATCATAACCAGACTGATACATAGAACAACAGTTGGGCTTTATACTCTGAGTGGAGTTTTCTGTGACTAAACGGAATGGAAAAACTGGATGGAATTCACTGGTCTTCCTGCTTTACACACACAGAATCAAACACACAGAATCGCTCAGTTGGAAAAGCCCTCTGAGATCATCCTGTCCAACCGTTCCTGTCTCCTCACTAAACCATATCCTTAAGTACCTCATCTACCCGCTCTTTAAATACATCCAGGGATGGTGACTCCACCACCTCCCTGGGCAGCCTGTGCCAGCTTCTGACGACCCTCTCAGTAAAGAACTTCCTCCTTCTCTCTAACCTGAACCTCCCTTGGCACAGCTTGGTGCCGTTTCCCCTTGTTCTATCCCCCATCACCTGGGAGCAGAGACCAGCACCCACCTCTCTCCAAGCTCCCTTGAGGCAGTTGTAGTTGGTGCTGAGGTCTCCCCTCAGCCTTCTCTTCTCCAGGCTAAACAACCCCAGTTCCCTCAGCTGCTCCTCACTGTCTCACAAAGCAGATAAATATATGTAGAAAGAGATTCTCAGCTGAAAAAAGTCAATTTGTGCTGTCTGCTGTGTTTCAGTGGAGGCAGCGAGAGAATCCACAGTCGCTCTTCAGACTTCCCAGCTGCAGTGCTGTGTCTGTTGTGAACTATGGCAGAGTCTGGCTTAGACCAGCACCTTTTCCACAGATGCTTTCCTCATTTCTGAAAGAAATAGAACTAGTCTGTATGTGGCTCTGTATGAAGTCTGTATGGCTCTGTGTCAGAAAATGCCCATTTTTGCCGTGAAGTGACTATTTGCACTTGTTGACTGTGTACTGTAAAGTATGCATAAAAATTCTGTCCGCTCAGAGTCACGTTTTGATTTTCCAGGCATGGCCACTGGTGACCCCAACGCAGTGGTGGTAGGACTGGCTCCTCAGCACTTTCACTACGAGATGATGAACCAGGCGTTTCGGTAAGTCAGCTTTTCAAGTGGTGGCTTCTGCTGGGCTCTGTACCTCTGCACAGGGAGGAAACCCTTCTCATATGGCAAGAAGAGGGTGGTGGCAGTATCACTGTTACATACCATGATCGTGGTGTCTTCTTCTGTGTCAGAGAGAGCTGTTTATTACCTGAGCAGGTTTGAGACCTTAACCATGAACTTCAGGCAGTCCAACCCTGGTTTTCGTAGCTTTCAGTCTGTAAATAAATTATAGAAGTGTGGTCATGGTGAAAAGGTTAGCAATGTTTCAAGAAGAAATACACAAAACCGAGGATGTTGGGAAGTGTTCGGCTTCTGTGTTCAAACCTCAGCCTTCACAGCTCAAATAGTGTAG